AGTTAAATTCCCCTTCCCCTCACCTACCTGTCTCCGCCCCCACGCCCGACCCACGTCATGTTATTTCCTGGCACGACTGCAGCGTGCACATTGCTCTTTCCTTCCTGTCGTGCTGGCAGGAGCTGACAAAGGCCGGGCTTAGTCACCAGCTGGATGCTCCTTCTTGGGTGTGTGCATGGGCCGTGGGGGAGGACGCCTCTAGAACTTTCTGCCCAGTGTGCCCTGGGACTGGGAGTAGCGGCATCACTTGGAGCTCATGAGAAATGAGAATGTCAGGCCCAACCCCGATCTACTGCATCAGCATCTGCACTTACAGGCCCCCCCCTGGCTGTTAACAAGCTCACAGAAGCTCCAGAAGTGCTGGCACAGGGCCCGGCCCATGCCAACTTGCGACAGGAACCAGCTCACCCAACAGCCCCATGAACTTGGAGGTGTCGCCACCTTCTTTCACCTTGAAAATTATGGATTTACTCACACATCTGCACATGTGAGGTCGTGCTCTCCCAATGTCACCTGAAAAACTAAAACCCACGCCCTCTGACACAGCAGAGAGCCTTGCTGAATGTTCAAGCCCAGGGAAGAGGCTGCCCCACACCCCACTTGCAGTAGAAGCCCTGGTCCTCATGAAGAGGTGCAGGCAGCAATCCCAGAGCTCCACGCCCGCGAAAGGACCGCGGTGCCTCTTGCTGAGACACTTGGCCCATCATTTTCCTTGAAAGCCTGTCAAATGCTGGAGTTGGCAACAGTGAGTATGTAGAAAGGGTGATGCCAGGGGGACACAGGAGAGATACATGCAGGCCTGTGTTGCAGGCGAAGCTTAGAAAATGCCCAGCATCTTGCCTGGACCTGTCTGTCCGCAGGGAGGACCAAGCCCACAAAGCGAGGGGCAGAGTGAGCAGAGGTGCCACTGGGCAGACCTTACAGCCCATGGACAATCAGCTATTCTTCTCCAGCAGCCAATCAAAAGGAAGGGCCAGGAGAGGGGAGGAGAGGGCACAGAACCAGAAAGGGCAGGGGAGTATTGCCTTAGATTCAGTCACATGTGTAAGAACAATGACGAATTAAGAAAAACTTTTTTTTTTAAATTAATGCCCAGTCCTAGCAGCCCAAGTCCTCCTGAAAGCCCAACTAACACAGAAGAAGCCAGAGCAGAGAAGGGCTCTGCAATGAGGAGCCAGCCCCTCAGAGGCAGGCGTGCCCGTGAGCGCAGTCTTGTGGAAAAGGGTGAAAGGGCCGGTCAGCCAGGGAGGAGGGGCTTTCCCAGGCTGACCCTTGGGGTTAGGAAACGGGGGAGTCATCCTGATTACTGACACCACCGGACAAGTTCTTCCTCCAAGACTTCCCATGAGAATTTGTACAGATCAAAAACACGTGGTGTCTGACCGCCAAGCACATCTGGCCTGTAAGCACTGAGGCTGACAAAGCTCACAGTTCCCACAGGAGCCAACATGACTGTGTCCAGTTATCTAGTGCAGGACTAGAAACTAGGAGGAAGAGCAATCCTGAAAAAGTTCAGTAAGACACATGGAGGATGCATAAGGCTGTGTAATGGCCACCATGCAATCCCAGAGCCCAGTGAGTGTGGGGGGGGGGGGGGGGAGACAGCATCAAGGGCCCAAAGTGGGGGGCCCTCCTATACTAGTAAATGCCTGCTTCTCAAGAGGGGGCGAGTTCCTGGAGCTGCCACCACATTACTTCTCACTTTCCTGGTTCCCCCCAAATATAAAATTCTACCAACATTGATTTTACTCCTGTTTCTATATTAGCCAGAGCACAGGGGAAGGGAAAAATGTAACTATTTCAGAATTTCAATAAATTGTATCTCTCAGATTTGTTTCTTCTGAATTCAGAATTGCATTAGTATTCCAGGCCATTCTGCCACTCAATCCTTATTAAAGAGCAACTCCACCCAGCTACATACCTTTTTATCTATGTTTGTAAAATGGCAAACTCCTTGAAGCTATGTCAGCTGCAGCCTTTGTTCGTGAAACAATTTAACAAAATTCACATTTGCTGTAATTGCTTTAAAAATGTCGGAACACACATGCATTGGTCATTTAATTCTTATTTACCCTTAGGTCACTCAAGTAATTGGTGTAACAACTTTAAAGGCAAATCAAATCTTATTAATGCTTTCCAAGTACTTTAAGAATCTTAAGCGAATGAATGTTTTGTAAATTACTACTCTCAGGAAGAAAACACACACAGAAACATTTTACCATTTAGTTCCTGAAACGGTTTTGAGATTTATCTTGTGAGTCTCAAGAAACTCTGTTGGTTTTTATTCTTCCAGAAAATAAGACTGTCTGAGGAAACTGCTAGAGGAGTTTTATGTGGTTTGGGCAGTGAGTTATGGATATGTTAATAGCTACAACTCAAAGAAAAAAACTACCGGAACCTCTAACACAGGGACTATGTTGGATGTGGATAAGATACAAGCCTGGCTTGGCTGGAAGGCTGCTGGGGAGACCATTCGTGTCTCCACTGGAAAGGAACCCGCTGTGCAGGGAGCTGTCACACACTAGGTACCAGGTGGTCTAATCGGGATTTGGAAAGCACCCGTAACTTCATGACTACCACCAAAATGTTGAAAAAATATCGATTGGCTCAGAAGCACACTGAGCTTCTATTTTGCTCTTAAAATGATCAGACACTGTGAGGAAGAGAAAGATAAATAAGATAGGCTTCATCTATGGAAAAAAGGTAGCAAAGATTAGGAGTTCAGAGGAAAAGATTGAATGTAACCAAGAGTGGTCAAGAAGGTTCTGGATAAAAGGTGAGCGCCAGAGCTGAGCCTTCCAAGAGGGGAGGGGATGATTCGGGCATGTGGAAAGAAGGGACAGCCTTCTGAGCAAGAAGACCTGGCGGTAAGGACGGGGGGGGGGGGGGGGGGGGGGGGGGGTGCGCATAAAGTGTGACCAAGGTCAGCAAAGTAAGCAGTTAAACGTTCTGTCTCTGTCTAAACATGTACTGAGGCCGTCCTTTGTCCTGGGCCCTTCACATTATCATCACCTCATTTAATCATTGCTATAAGCAGGCTCCACGGGTACAAGGGAAAACCCTTTGCAAAAACTCAGTCTATAGCGAAGAGAGTCGGATCGATGCAGTTGCATCTGCAGGAAGAGTCTGTAGAGACGTCACTTCCTTTTCTGGAAGCAACAAGATTCCTGGAACTGGCGCCCCGGCAAGGTGGCTTGGTTGCCTGGAGCCATCGTCCCACGCGCCAAAAGGTTGCAGGCTCCATCCCTGGTTGCGGTACATACAGGAGGCAACTAATTGATGTCTCTCTCTCACACACTGATATCTCTCTTTCTCTCAAATCAATAAAAGCATCATATCCTCCGGTGAGGATCAGAAGAAAAAAAAATCCCTGAACCTGGCAGACAATGGCATCTCCTAGACTCTGTCCTCATGGGGGGAGAGGAAGAGCAAAACCACACCCCCAAACAAAACAGCCTCCCTTCCTCCGAATGAGCAGAAGCTGCTCTTTCTTGTGGGTACACAGAGTATTAGGGTGTTGCCCAGCTAAGATAAAGAGACCCTAAGTTGATATGAACTAGTCTTCAATTTATCTCCATCTAAATTCCACCTTAATCAACTGGACTATTTTAAATGAAAGAAGTGATTTGAAGCAGTGGGCCAGTGAGCCCCAACAGTAAGCAGTCTAAGTAAGCCACCTACGTGTTTGCCTGTTTGCTCTGCTATTGAATATTCCACAGTATATTTGCAGGATTTAGGTGATCATTTCTCTCTGCGGATTCGAGAACAATGATTAAGCTGTTCCAGTGTGCTGTGCTCCCCAGCAAGTCAGCCTCCAGACTCTCTCAAAAGAGCATTAAGTTTGCGTCCTTCATGGATTTAGATGGGAGAGATAGTGTTTCTATGTAATCATCTGCTCACCACAAAAGGAAGCCTCGCTAACTTCACCAGGAAAAGTGTGCGGCAAATTACTTCTGAAGCTCCCTGAAGATTAAGGCCCCGTAGGTTTGGGGCTGCATGACAATTAAGTAATAATGAAAGAGAAATCATATCATTTGATCAAATAAATGCATTATCCCAACCCTACACTGTGCACCGTTATTCACTCGCTGGCAGTGTTGACTTTTTGAGGTAATTTTTCTCTCATCCCACAGGACAGGAAATGTGCACAGAGGGAAACAGGGGGTGGGGGAAGGGTGTGCGTGGAGGATGACAACGCAAGTGCAGGTGCCCAGAGCAGCTCTTAGATGAGACGCAGTATTCACCGCATCCTAGGGAAAACCCAGGGGGTCTTCAAAGTCATTTCTTAAAGCTCGGCACATACAAAACCTTTTCTGCAGAAAAGCCGAGTCCCCCATGAGCCCCAAATTCATGAGGCCTGCTACCTGAGCAGGGTGAGGTGTAGTTCATGAATCCTCTTCATTACTTAAGACCAAGTTCACTAAGCAATTAGCAGTATATCAGACTCTCCGGGGAGGTATTTGAGAACAAGTTTTCGAAGCACTTTAGAAGCATTTATATACACCTAGCAGGCCATTAATCATTCTCATCTGTTCATTAAGGCGGCCTCCCATAGGACTCCACTTGCCAGTTCTTTCTCAGCATGCTCCTTTTTATCTATAGACCCAAAAGGGAGTTCATTTCTCTTAAAATATATTTTATAATTAAAAGGCTTCATTAATTCATAGGGTGTGCTCCACCCATGAGTCTGCATTTTCTGGGTTTTATTAAATATACAGAAAAGCGGTTCTCTTGAGGTCTTTGTGGAAGACAAACCTTGCAACTCCAGCTGGGTTTGGGAATGCATTTTCAGCGTTGGAGAGATTTAGACCATTGCTTACAGCATGAAGAAAACCTCCTGTCCGTATCAACACATGTTGCTTCTTCTGTCCCCTACCAAGAAGGGGACCAATTTAAATTCACACTGCAATCTAATTGATATCAACTAAAAGTGAAGGGGTAAACCAGATTCTGTAAAGCAACCAGTTTGCAATGTCAGGTCAGCTGCTAAGTGACAATACCTCTGCCTGCGACTCCTCCACACCCACGCTGGGGCCTCTGCTGGTTCCTGGTTCTGTCCATCCCAGCGCAGCCCGCAGGGAGGCCCCAAGCAGTGCGAGATGCAGCCAAACGTGTCCTGGTTTCATTTTGTTGAGTCTGTTGAGAAAATGACAAGGGCTTAGAATTAAATGTTACAAAGTGCAAGCAAGTGTGGGGTAGTTAGCATTTGTACTCCAGAATCAGATAAACTTGAGTTAAATCCTAGCAACAACTTTTCCGTTCTACTATGGAGACGTTATATGACTTCTGAGCCTTGGTTTACTCCTCTCTAAAATGGAGTCAATAATACATACCTCATAGGGCTGCTGTGAGGATTGAAGGAGTCAGTGTCAGGCACATAGTAGGAGCTCTATAAATGCTAGCGGCTCTGTGGAAGCCCACTTGAAAGGCCACCTACCACTATGTCTATAAGAACAAACCAGGGTGGCAACGCTGGGTCCCTCTGTGAGGCCACCATGTATCTATGCCTCGGTGTCCTCAGAAAGCAACTAGTGCTCTATAAATGCTGACGAGGAATCATGTTAAGCCCGTGGCAGCCGGTTTGCAGCTGATATCTCAGTTTACAAGCTTCTAAATGGAATTATAAGGTCCGATATTTTCAAGACCAATCATTTTTGCAGCAGAATCCAAGCATCTCATGGATAATGGGATTTCAATCACTTTTAAGGTGTTTCCTGAGGCTCCCGTGGTAAATGGTGTAAAGTCCCAGAAGACAAGACATGGGCAATTCAAAGTAATCACAGAATTACCTGGATGAAAAAAAACTCAGGATCAGCTACAATAAATATTCCACTCCCTGCCATGTGCTGGGCATTGTACTAAAGGGGACAAGGACACAGACTAGTCCACTTGCACAGTAGCTATACTTTTTTTTAAAGGGTTTCTACTGTGAACATAGTCCGACCTCCATCTCAGTATCTCTAAGAAGCAGAGCAAGACAGAACGCGTGGTACAGTGTTTACAGCTCTTACTCAAGGCGCTTGGGGGTTATTGATTTCCGTGAGCACCACACAATTTAGTGCCTAATTGCATGTGGTCCACACTGCATCTTGATCGTGGCTGGGAGATGAAAAGACACAGCTCCTTGGAGGCCAGCAGCCCATGGCCAGAGAAGGCGCCCCAGTCAAAAAGGATTAGCTGCCTGAGGGACATCACAGCCCGTTGGAGGAGTCCACCCCTGTTCACCCCCAAAGGCAACAGCTTTGGAGGAGTCCGACCCTAAACAAGGGGCGTTAGAGGTGCCGCCTGGTCACTAGTGCTCATGCCGGGGCCGCCACACACACGCACTCCTGCCGCGTTCCAGGTTTCCTTTGGCCGCTTTCCACACCCAAATAGAGCTGCCTCTCCAGATTGGCTGTATGTCCCCAGCTTGAGACAGAAATGCCCCAGGAAGGAGAAGCAGACTAAAAAGTGTGGGCAGGCAGCGCAGTTCCATGGAAAGGCAAGGTTATACGTTATGACTGCCTTGTAAGAGAAGGTGTCTTCTTGAATTAAAAAGAGTCCATAGGCTCCCACTCCTACATCTGTTCCTCCAGCTGCTCATCTTCCACATCTGTTAGCAAAGCTGGAGCTACTAGGGCAACAGTCCAGGTGTCAGGTAAGTAGAGCGTGAAGGTCACAGTCGCGCCCCCTTCAGCCCCTGCTCTGCACTCTGAGGAAGGCAGAGTTAAGTGGAAAGGTATGGCTTTGGCTGCCACCTGGGAGAGGACAGGAGCATTCCCAGCAGCCACCCACTCAGCACTCCCCATCCGGCACTCTAGCTGGGGCCTGGGGGGAGGGAACTCCAGCGCTGGGAAGGAGGGAACATCTTTCTCGCAGGGGGGAAGAGAATAGAAATGTCTTTCCCGAACTGTAGCCAGTTTTTCTAAAAATAAACAGGGCGGCTCCCTACTCTCCATAAATTATTATCATCTGAACACAGAGCCACGTTCCAGACACTGCCGAAATCAGTGGCTGGATTTTGGGAAATTTTTTAAAACCAGCAACAGTAACTCAAGCTAGAACTAGAAAGACATTGCTTCCCACTCTCCTTTATCAATTCTTCCCTACTTATCCACTCTCAGCAACAGTGCTGCTGGGCGGAGCACACACAGGGAAGGTGTTTTCTCCCTGCTCATGCCTTCCAGCCCAAATAAACTAAAAAAGCAAGACCATCAAGACTTACTCTAGTTAACGTCCAGCTGTCAATTCCAGGAGATAGGAAATATTCAAGCCACAGAACTTAGTTTTCAATTTGCCTGGTAATCCAAGACCAGTTATGCTTGATGTTTTATTATTAATGGGTGGCATCAAAATAAAACCCACTCATTTCAATTGCTATTTTGGCAAGCTGCAAATCACTCCCTTAGGACAGTGGTTCTCAACCTTCTGGCCTTTTAAATACAGTTCTCATGTTGTGACCCAACCATAAAATTATTTTTGTTGCTACTTCATAATTGTAATGTTGCTACTATTATGAATCATAATGTAAACATCTGATATGCAGGATGGTCTTAGGCGACCCCTGTGAAAGGGTCGTTCGACCGCCAAAGGGGTTGTGACCCACAGGTTGAGAACCGCTGCCTTAGGAGTATGCAGCCTGACCTCTGGCTTTAAGCCAGCTGTTCTGTGTTTTGGGAAGCTGGAGCTCAGCCCTCTCGCACCTGGACTTGTCCCTGGATTCATCTGGTTTGTGTTGATGTCCTGGGAGATTGTATTTGAATACAGGAGAACACAGGAGCACAAAGGAGCCAGGCCAACCCCTGAAATATTCCTAGGCAGCTTCTTTGTAAAGCTGAGCTCAGCTTGGCCACCACTAGATCAACCTTCATTTGCATGGTAGATGTGTCATTCTATTCTCTGGGTGAGTGACAATTCATTACATCTACAGCAGCAACAGCCTAAAAATTTACAACTCAAGCTTTATGACAGTTCAGTTCATAAAAATAGAATTAATATTGGGTCTAAATCAATTTTGATGATCTAATAACCAAGTAGAGACTATTTAGTTAACACTTATATAGCAACTAGAGGCCCAGTGCATAAAATTCATGCACTCGAGGGAGGTCCCTCAGCCCAGCCTGCGCCCTCTCACAGTCTGGGAGCCCTCAGGGGATGTCTGACTGACGGCTAAGACCTAAGCCATCAGTCAGATATCCTTAGTGCTGCCGCGGAGGTGGGAGAGGCTCCCACCACCACTGCTGAGCTCATCAGCTGTTAGCCTGGCTTCTGGCTGAGTGGCGCCCCCCCCTGTGGGAGCACACTGACCACGAGGGGGCAGCTCCTATTTTGTCTGCCCCCTGATGGTCAGTGCACGTCATAGCAACTGGTCATTCTGCCGTCAGGTGGAAACCAGCTCTCTGACATCCCCCGAGGGGTCCCAGATTGTGAGAGGGCACAGGACAGGCTGAGGGACCTAACCGGTACATAATTAAGGCCAGGGAGGGACGCAAGAAGTTGGTCAGCTGGGGAGGGGCCACGAGAGGGGTCCAGGGTATGTCGGATCGGCCGGACCCCAGCAGCAAACTAACCTACTGATTGGAGCATCTGCCCCCCGGTGGTCAGTGCACATCATAGCGAGCAGTTCAGCAGCCTTAGCATATCATTAGCATCTATGCTTTGATTGGTTGCACAGCCCACTGGACGACCAGACACTTAGCATATTAGGTTTTTATTATATAGGATTCCTATATGTCAGGCACTGTCCTGAATGCTTTACATACATAGCCCTCATTTCTACCCTGTGAGGAGGGCAATAAGTATCACCTAGGCAGATGACAGGGGAGACAGGTCACAGAGAAGTAAGTCCCCTGCTATGGCCATGTGGCAAATAAGTGGTAGAGATGGGACTTCGAGACAGGCAGCTGGACTCGATATCTATGCTCTTAACCCCCATCCTCTGCTGCCACTCAATACTTAGCAATATTTTATTTTGACAAACTGCTGTTTTTAACATGATGCAAAAATCCATGGACAGTACGAAAGGAGACCTTGAGCCCAAGCCTCCCTTTCCTCAAAAGGCTGCCAAGATCTGCACTCCTCCAGCTTTCAGGGATCCAACCAAGACCAAAGAAGCAGGGCGAGGGAAAGCCACGCTGCTCCCCTCCCGCACCCACCCCTGGAAGGGACCACTTGGAAGGCTCTCAGCTTCCACTGCTGCTGTCTTTATTGAACAAGAAAAAACCACATGGTGATGCACAGACTGCCAGGCAACAAGGAGGCCCCTCAGTTCATGGGCACAGCAGCATGGCACAGACAGTCACTCTCGGGGGGTGGGGGGGGGGCGTGACCTGTTGACACATTACTCATCAAATGCAAATAGCCCTACTGGCCTTCAGACAGAAGGGAGTACAAGAATCTCCCGGTCATAGACATGGGAAGGTACCATCCATAAGGATGCAAACCCTCTTTGTGCAACCTAGTTCCTAGAGATCAATTCAGGTTTATAAACATCATTCAGTCCATGCTAGAGTGCTAGGATCATTAAAAATCTACCCAAGATCGTCCTCATGAAAGAGCTGGGACCACCTTTACAAACAACTCATAAAACACAAATCCCTTGATATTTAAGACATCACGTTTCTAAGCGAAGTCATTCATTGCATCCTCCGAGGTTTCCCTCCTGTGCCTCACTTTCCCCACACTCAGGGGAACCAAGGGCCAGCCAGTCTGCTGCACAGACAGAACACCAGAGCCCAGGGAGTTAGGGAATTCACCGCGTGTGACGCCACACCAGACCGAGACTAAACCCAGGTCTAGGTAACCGTTTTGTTTCTTACCTTGTCACAAACTCACGTACGGAATATGTTTGCCTTCTGCTTGACTGATTTTGCTATTTTTAGTGCATCTACCACTAGGGCATCCGCCTGATCCTTGCAACAACCACGAGATTTTCTGTCTTTATAATATAATCTTACACTGGTTCTCTTGTTTATTTGTATTTAAAATTATGGGGCACCACAAAGTTGGATGATGTAACATTCTAAATTTTGACTTGCTTTGTGCAGGCAGTCGAAAAATATGACACAGTAGGGAGAAATTGGTGTGAGGATGTCAATTCCAAATCTGCCCCAGCAGAGAATATAGGCCAGGATGTACGCTGTCTTTACGGGACAGGATCAGAGGCCAGAGAAAAGCACCAACGTTAAACTGGCAGGTTTAATACAAACTTCTTTTCTCCTGTGGGAAGAGCCCTGGTTGAGAAAAGGGGACATTCTGGCCACCAAAGCTTTTTGGGAGGCTGTTCATGAGCCCTCTCTCTCTCTCTCTCTCTCTCTCTCTCTCTCTCTCTCTCTCTCTCTCTGGCTCTCTCCCCGAATATGGTAACATTCCCAAAGCAGACATTATGGATTAGCCACATGGAAATGGCTTCTCTTTGTAAAGGACAGGACCAGAAATTGTGATGACAATCTGGCAGAACCAAGCGACACCACCCAACCTTGAAGAGCGCTGGTAAGGTCTGTGACCCTGAGGCGCCTGCATTGCCAACCTTTCTAACTGAAAAACTGAATGTTCTAGCGAATCTAGCCAGTTACTTGAGGTGCATTGCATTTTACACCTGGGATGTTGGCAATCCACAAACAGAAACCCACTGGGGACCACTAAAAATCCCTGTAGTCCTCTTCTGTATGTCCGACCAGTGTAAAAAGGAAATAAAATCCATATAAACCCCAACCTAAAACCAGAAGGCTATATTTTAATTTCTTTTGGAAGACTTAGGACCTTAGTTTTTATTGGTGAGTGTTTTAGGAAAAAAGAAAGGGGGTCAAACTTCCTAAGATAGTCCCTAAAATACCAAACCCAGGAAATTAAGAATGGAAATATATCAGGCTAACCATGCAAGAAACCATAATGAAGTTATATTGCACTTTCTATTAATTCCTACTCTGTATCTTTGGTTGATTTGTTCCAACAATTAATAAATTAGATGCCTAAATTAGTCTGTGCACAATGTATAGACTAATCTATAGCATTCCTATTTACTATTAAGCTTAACACACACAAAGAAAACTTCCAGTAACCCTCACCCTTCCAACATTCAGATTATACCTCTTAAAGTACCATCTTCCTCAACTGTAATTCTGTTTTATTTGACATTCCATGCCTTGTGTTATGCATTGAGAGAGAAAATGTAAGGAAAGATGTGCTCTTGAAATAACTATCTAATTTCATTAAGTGAGCAAGCACACAGTTGACCCCACATAAGCAACACAAGGAGGCTGAGTCTGAAAAGAAATACCCAAAAGAACAAAGTAGGAATTAAGGGAGATTTTTAGGAAATCTTGACTATTCAACTCCAGTTTTTGGAATATCATGTTAAGTCCAACAAAAGATCATAACATGATCTCTTTAAAAAAAAAAAAAATCCTGCAACGTTTAGTAGACAGAAAAGAATCCTGAGTGACTGATTTATCAAGGTAGAAAAATACAACCTACCCCTCCCTCACCCACCTCCAGGGCACAACCAAAGGGACAGAAGTTCTCCGAATGCCCAGAACAGGCTGGCCCTTCTCTGGGGCAATAGGAGCCTGCCTGGGATTAACAAAAACTGGGGGTGGACATAAAATTCCAAGAGAGCAGAAGCCACTGGGACAACATTTTAAGGAGCCGTTTTAATAGATCACATCAATGACTATTTCAGTCTGTCTTCGGGGAGGGGGGCTGTCTTTTCCCCTGGGATGGGAAGAAAACGAACATTCAGCCGAGTGTGTCTAAACAAAAATGGTCTAGAGATGCTGCAGTGTCTGCTTACAAAACTCAGATGAGAAGCAGACATCATGGGCCCTGTGGGCATCAGCTCAAGTCTTCCGTTTGAGCTACTGCATGAGGCTTGCTGCGGCTCTAGCGTCATAGAGGCCACACCACACATTCCCTTGACCATTGGCTCCCTAGGTGAGCCCTCCACCTGACCACTGCCCAGACCCGGAGCTGGTCCCAGGCCACCCCAGGATTAAGAGGACACCATTAAAAGTCAGCTTTGGCTTTCCCTCAAGCCTGATAGCAGAAAAATAGGGACTTTTGAGAAAAGTCAGAATTTCTTCCCCATCCCCCTTCCCCCCTCACAGATGGTAATACAGGCCCATTTCTGGGGCACTAATTAGTAGTTGCCGTGCCACCTCCTCTTGAAATTCTATTTATCTTTGACTCACAAAATGTGGATGGATGCTTGTATCTCGGGGCCCATCTAGTACGGTTCCTGGTGCACACACAGCATTGCAACAAATTTACCAAGGTTTCAGACCAAAGCTACTGGCACTGCTTTTCCCTTGCCAGAAACCTCGGCGGAAGCGACACCTAGAGGGGAGAGGAGGAGAGGCTGTGGAAGCGCTATTCATCAATGTCGGGGACAGTTATCAGGAGCCAGCTAGGCTGGACAGCTCATGGGGACCAACTCTCTGGGCGATGGATAGATGATACAGGCCTAGTAGGGCTCCACTCAGCCGGCCCCCAGGCACTTCCAGCAGGCGGACACGCTGCACGGGGGCTTGCCACGTGCCGGGCATTGAGAGAAACCCCACTACTTCCAGCGGGTTTCTGCCCTTTCTGGAGCGGAAGGTCCAGAAGTCCTCAGGTGGCAGGCCGCGGGGTAATGCGGGGTAATGCGCCCCGGGCGCCCCTGTGTTAGCTGAAGGGAGTCGCAAAGGCTCGCGCGGCTCTCACCCCAACTCCAGGCTACACGCGTCCAAAGCGGAGCGTTCTGCCTGGCGTAGCCGAGTCCCCCGAAACTTGGAACAGGTTTCCTTCGGTAGCGCAGAGAGAGGCGGAGATCACCCACAGTGCGAGGTCTCTTCGGACCAGGCTCCCTGCCTGGGCGCCCCCAAACAAAATGCTCCCTAGTGACTCCCCAGCTGGGAACACGGCTGCACGCTCGGAACTGCGACCAGCCTCGCAGAACGAGAGCTGCAGGCTGCCCTGGGCCGGCTTCAGTCCCGGGTCCCTCCTCCCCAGCCTCCCGCGCCGAGCCCACCGCTCAGCCCCAGACGCTGGGAGCTCGGGGAAGTGAGGGCCAGGCGAGTTTTGCGGGCCCTTGAGCTGCAGCAAGGAGACGCAAGTTTCCCCGCAAAGCTGGAGGGAGGGGGGAGTGAGCACGGGGCCAAGGGCACGGGTCCCAGCCGAAGGGCCGCCGCTCGCCTGACTCGCCGAGGCCGCTAGGGGTCCTGAGCCCAAGAGCGGCGCCTGCAGGGTCTCAGGCCCGCGCGGGCTGCGGGCTCGGCCCCAACTGTTCTGCGCCGCGCTCTGCGCGCCACCAGATCACTCCGGTCCTTCCAGCAGACGTGGGCCCCAAGTCTCGGCGCCCCAGCCTTTACCCCGAGTCCCGGCCCGGCCGGGGTAGCCCTGCCAAGCCCGCGTTCCGTGATCCCGTGCCCGCTGCCCGCCAGGCGGGCAAACTTGGCTCCCCCGGCACGGGCTGGGAGGACAAGCAGGCGCCCGCTCCGGCCCTGCGGGAAGACGCAGACCCGCGGGCGCAGGGACCCGGACGGGGTGCGTCCCGGCGTTGGTGGCGGCGGCTTGGCACCCTCCCCGCTCCCGCGTACCTGAAGCAGCTGGGGCCGAAGGAAAGACCAGGTGGCCGGACTCCCACTCGCGGGAGCGCCCCGTGGCGGCAGCGGTAGCGGCGACCCGGCTCCGCGTGCGGTCGGTCTCTGTGGCTGTTGGCGGGTCCTGGGCACCCTGAAGGTTGTCGCGGCTCCAGCTCTCCGAGCCACCGCTGCCCACTGCTGTGCCACCGCCGCGGAGGCTGCCCTATTTCTGCCGCCGGGACCGGAGCCCGTGACGTCACCCTCGCGGCCCCGCCTATCCAATCGCAGCCACCTGTGCGCGCAGCCACCCGCCCGCCGCTCTGAGCCGCGCGGGGCCGCAGCAGGTGCGCGGAGCTTGGGGCGCGCACGCGGGCCGCGAGGACTCGGCGCTCCAGGGCGACCCTGCACCCGCCGCGGGACGGAGTAGCTCCGGCCCCTGGCTCGCGGGAGCCTGGCAGGTGACAAGCCCCCTGACCCGCCAAAACACCCCTCCTCACCTCTCTCTCCTCCCGGCTCCTTCTGGGGCTGGATTCTCCGAGGCCGTGCGCTCAAGAAGCACAACTTCCTGGCCATATAACGTGTAGAGTCCGGGCAGTACCAGACCCAGAGCTGTCCCTGGAGGCAAAGTCAAATAACACTCCCCCTCGCTGAGAACCAACGACCTACGAAAAGGCAGTTTGATTACTTTTCTCTCTTCCGAATCTGCCCTCTCCCAGCTGCAGAATCCTACAAAGTCCTGGGCACAGAGGGGCAGTCCCAGGTGATGACATTTGCTTAGCTTGGCCAAGCTGTGACCAGAAGGTCTTCCTTCTCCTTTACAACCAGACGTTTTTGCAGCTGGGGCCCCATCCTCCAGCCTGGGGCTCCCAAACCTTTCTGGATCCCTCTTCAACACCCACAACTTTTTTTTTTTTTCTAAACCAATCTTTATTAAGAATTAAGTATTTGCATTTTTCCAGTGCAACCAAGCAGTCGTTTTGCTTTTGTTAATTGGTCTAGAGATCGATCTTGAAGCAGAAATAAACTGGAAACATCTTTGTAACAACTAGGGCCCCCCATGTGGTCATATTTTAGCCCCAATCTGGCCTCAAATTTAAGAGGGATACCCCAGCCCAGGCCAGGCTGGTGGTGATGGATGGGGCAGGGGTCTCTCTGAGGGACTGCCCCTGCTCTGGCTGTGTGGACACAGGGTGACTTTCTGGCTTAAGGGAGCAGTGTCTTGTCCATGCCCTGTGATAGCTCCTGGCCTGGAGCAGGGGCAGGAGGGCTTTTCTGAGGATAAACATAGTCAAATCTCAGCAGAAGGGCAAGGCCACCAGGCTGATGTGGAGGGAGAGGCATTACATTTACTCTTTTCTTCCACAGACGTTTACGGAGCCCTCCCATGCGCCAGGCACTGTGCTAGGTGCTGAGGAGAGTGCAGTGGATGGGCCACAAGGCCTCTGTCCTCACACAGGTTTTGGTTTGGGATCCAGCCTTCCCTCCACCACTGCTCAGCTGGTTACCCTGAGTCACTCATATGCCTGCTAGAGGCATCAGTTTCCCCATCTGTAACATGGGGGGCTGGATGAGACCTGGGTGACTTCAGTTTGCTGTGACTTTCCACATGGCTATCATGATTTAGTCTCAGAAGAGTAAAGCCTACTCCCTCCTTAGTGCCCCTCGGGCCTTGGGAGGTATGATGCTCTCTCAGATTTTATCTTTGCCAAGGCCAGCCATGACTGACCTTCAAGGCTTGGAGGCAGATTCTCTACAGCTGGATCAAGAAGGGGATGGCACTTTCTATCTTGGGAAAAATAGAAGAAAGACTAAAAGGCATAAAAGGCGATTTGGAAACACGCTGTATCTCCCTTTGAAGTGTAATTCTAAGTCCTGGTCAAGACGGTGCCCCACAGCTCAGCGGCCGAGTTCATCTCCCCTCCCACACTGTGAGTTCTTTGGAAAACCAGATCTCTGTTCTCAGCTCTGAACACAAAGCCCCTGGTTCAGCCTCATGGCCCTATTACATAACCCAGACAGGCCTCGGGAGGGGGCAGGGGGTGTTTTTAATAACTCAGGGTCATATGTAAGTCAGGGTCTGCAGGCTGACCAAGACCAGAAATAGCCCTGTTTACTGCAGGGAACAGGGACTGGACTTCCACAAACTCCCTCTGCTTCCCAAAGAAGAGGGAGAATGTAGCTACTACAAGCCAGATGTACAGGATATCCCTAGAGATGATGCTAACATCTGAAGTGAGCTATTGTGGCTACTGTGCATAAAATAAGAGTGGAATTAAAAGTCATCTTGGAATAAAAAGGGTGAAGTGTGAATGACGAAATCCAACAAGCCTACGGGGAAATGGCGTCGATGCCAGCAGACCTTTGCACTTCTTCGTATCGCTCTAAATAGGCTGGATTTCACACGGCAATTTTCAGAATTTGCTTGAAACCTTGCTTCAGAACTTGAAGGAATACTGATATTCTCAGTAGCCAACTAAGATGCTTCGAAATGAAATTTTTTTAAAAAAGGGTTAAGTTTCAACTTCAAACAATTCAGTAAGTTTGGAATGGGAAAGCTAAAAGGAAACACAAGTTCAGATGACTAACCCCAACCCCCCACTCTAGGTTATTGGTGAGAGATCTAGCCAGGTAGACTCGGAGACACATAAAAGGTATATATATATATATATATATATTATATGATCAAAAGTTTTAAAATCTTATATATATATATATACTTTACTAGTTTTTAAACTTTTACAATTTCTCTTCTTAATACAAACACAACCATATGATCAAAATTGCTGCCAAGCAACGTGTCTCCTACAGATCATTTCAGACTGAAGCAGAGGTGACATGCAGCCCACCGTGGGATCAGGGGAGAGTAGGGCACCTCCTCCAGATTCAACCAGAAGTTTCCTGACACGAGCTATGAGTCAGGTCCACCCTGGGCTGCTCAGACCGTGCCCAGAAGTACCCACTAGAAGCCAGGCCAAGAGGTCATGTACGAAGGTCCGAAAAGGCAGGAAACGGTCTTCCTTGTCTTCCATAATTTAGCATTCTGCTACCTGTCCAAAAAAGTCTTAGTAAATCTTCAGACCAAACCATGAAGGTGACTGAAGAAGCAGGCTGAGTCTTAGGAGAGCCCTGGGCGGGAGGCTCCGGCACCGGCTCCCTCCCCTGCTGCCCCTCTCTGTCTGGGTGAGCCTGGGTGAGACTCACCCTTTCTGGGCCTTGTTTCCCCATCTCTCGGTTAGTTTGGAATGGGGAAGCTAGAAGGAAACACAAGTTCAGGTGACTAACCCCAACCCCCAGAGTGGTGGGGTGGGTGGAGTGCGAGGCAGTCATACTAACTGAACTTCTATGGCCATTTTCAATGATACAAGTCTATGCCATTATTTTGCTAGTATCTATACAAGTTGGGGCTTCTCCAATCAAAAAAGAGCTATGAAGCTAAAGGTTTTCCCTAAGTCTAATATAAATGCTGATTTATTAAATAATGATTCAGTTAGCCATGTAGAAATTAAGCGAATATAGGCAACTAATGCAAAATTCTCGACCTAAAAATCACACTCAGAAATAATTTTCTAACTAATTTAGGAGAAAAGTAGCCAGCATGGAGATCAGTAAGGTATCGATTCAATAGGTAAGTGAAATTTGGGAAAGTTTTCAAGGCAACAAAGAAGTGGTGCAGAGTAAGAATTTTAATTAAGAAGTTGGGACGAAAGAGGTGATGCAGTGATGGACAGGGAATTATGAATGGTCAAAGTGGAGGGAGATGAACAATAAAACCCTTCCTCATGGTATTGTTTCCAGAAACAAAACACCTCCATCCCCCTCCCAGGGGCTAGATCGATGGTACCAGGGATCTAAGAAAGGCCCTAATCACAGGGGGAAGTGAAGTTGGACTGCTCTCAGAATTCCACGTGCATGGAAAGGACTTGGGACCAGAAGGCCAGGCCTCCAAACCACAAAGCACCACATCCTGGTCTAAGCCATGAAGCTCCCATTCCCCTTTCAGGAACTGGCTGAGTGGAGAACAGGGGCCCTGCTCTGGCCAAGGAGAGGTGAGAGAGAGTCTGCCAGGGAGATAAAGCAATGCTTGGGAAGAGATGGTGTCTCTTTTCCCTCTCGATATCCTCATTAATGACAAGGGACCCCGAGACCTACTAGTACACTCACCATCTTGTTACTCTGAGAGCAGCCAAGCTGACCGATGGAAGGTGGTGGAGGAGGGAGCGGGAAAGAAGCTGGAACCATAATGGCCTGCTGAGATGAGCTGCCGAAATCACCACTCAGACGCTGCCCGACCTCGACATTCCTATTTTCCTCATGACTTGCATCAATCAGGTTGAGATTTTCTGTGATTTGAAGTAGAAAACATACCAAATGAGAAAGAAGCTAAAATATAAATAAAAACCTCATGCATTATTGGACCAGCCTCTGACCCACAGCATGGGAGACAGGAGCTACTAATGTTGTCACCATCTCACTTGGTTTGTCCAAGAAACCTAGGCTCCATCAAAGGTTGAAGTCTCTTACTCTGGCTGGTGTGGCTCAGTTGGTAGGAGCGTCATCCCATACACAAAAGGTTGCAGGTTTGATTCCCGTCAGGACACACACCTAGGTTGTAGTTCCATCAACCGATCAATGTTTTGTTTTGTTTCTCTTTCTCTCTTTCTCTCCTTTCCCCTCTCGGGTGAGGATTTAAAAAAAAAAAACACCAAGGTTGAAGTCTCCTGACTCCAGTCCAGTGCTCAGACATGTTGTAATTGTCAGTTATGAAGAACATTTAATTAACCAGGATTCTATATTTCCTAACTGCCCTAGGTAAAAGACAGTGGACACATTACTGTATAGGAGGCTTTAAAGCTGCTGAATGCAGGCACACCCGTCAGCACGGCCTAGCCATCTGTGACTTGCAAATGCCTATCACCATAACCTTCCTCAAAAGATTTTTAAAACTGATTTTGCCATTTTTGTGTAGCATGTGACAAAGGAGTGACTCAAAGTTTTAAACAAGTTACTTGAGAGTATCATATTAAGTATTGTATTCTAAAGTTTGTTCTAATGCAATGATTAATATTTATAATATACAAAATGTCCCCTTTGTATCATTTAACAACAAGTGTACAATGTTTAACTTTTATTAAATTATATCAGAGAAAGCATAATTTTCTGAAAAATACACTAAAAAATGATGTCATATCTGGTTTGGGGACTGAATGTATACTTGA